TGCTCCTGGGGAATTAATGGAAGAAGGACACGTCACTTAGCATTTCTGCCTGACGTGCCAAAATTGCTCATGCTAGTTGCATTCTGGGATATGTCCTTGTACTGGTTATGAACTAGGGCTGCTGCAAACCTGGCAAGCCAAATCAGCTGTTTGCTTGATTTGAAAACTACCAAGGACTTATAATCAGAACAGTGGTATACATACTGTCAACCTTTCCATACAACTGGCTCTTTAAGAGAATGTACCACGGCATGCGGAGAATACACAGCATTATATCACTGCTTCACTACACCACAGAATCATAGAGTTGGAAGAAACCACAAGGGCCATCCAATCCAATGCTCTGTCATGCAGGAAGACAGAATCAAAGCACTCCCAAGAGATGGTCATCCAGCCTCTGTTTAAAAACTGCTTCCAAAGAAGGAAACTCAACCACTCTCCAAGGGAGCATCTTCCACTAACAGCTCTTATGTTCAGGAAGTTCCTCCTAATGTTTAGATAAAATCTCTTTTCCTGTAGCTGAATCTATTGCTCCATTAGTCTCTGAATTATACTCCAACTGATGCAGCCTAGAATCATATTGGCTTTTTTAGCTGCCACATTACACTGCTGACTCATGTTCAGCCTGTGGTCTACTACTATAACTCCTATATCCCTTTTGCATGCAGTGCTGTCAAGTCAGGTGTCACCCATCTGTGCATTTCAATTTTTCTGCCTAAATGTAGTGCCATACATTCCTTCCTGTTGAAATGCATTTTGTTAGCTTTGGCCCAGCTTTCTAAATCTATTAAGGTCATTTTGAATTTTCATCCTGTCTTCTGGGGTATTAGCTATTCCTCCTAATTTCCTGCAAATTTGAGAAGCATGCTCCCTATTCCTTCATCCAAATAATTGATAAAGAGGTTGAAGAGCACTGGGCCCAGGACCAAACCCTGGGCACCCCACTGGTCACTTCTCTCCAGGATGAAGAAGAAGGAGCCATTGCTCAGCACCTTTTAGGTTCGGTCAGTGAATCAATTACTAATCTACCTGACAGTTGCAGTAGCCCAGAGAGGGCACACATGCCATAGGTTCACCACCATGGAACTAGAGTTATCATTCACTTGCCTGGAGATCAAACTTCCCTGTCCTTTTATATGCTATTTCCCCCTCTTTCTTGTGAAGGCAGTGAGAGCTAGCTATAAGGAACAATGATGAAAATGAGCGTTTTAAGTGTAGCTATGAATGACAGTTGTAATCTGCCTTCCACCTATGTCAACCCTACTACAGGTCTTTCTTGGCAAAATTTATTCAGAGGAGGTTTGCCATTGTCTTCCTTATGGCTGAGTTTATCTGTCACAGCAAAACCAACAAAATATCTGGTAGTACCTGAAATATTAACTAAATAACATTTGTTAGCTTTAAAGGTGCCACTAGGCTTTTCCTTCTTGTAACTTTAAACCAGAAATAGGATGCTTTGAAGGATTGGGAGGGGGGGCATTCCAACCTGCAACCACTCCACAGGCTACAATGTCATACCTGGTGCCACACAAGGTGATGCGATACCACTTCTGGTTTTGGGTTTTGGCTGAAAATCAGGAGTGATTTTGTTATTGTAGAGGGTATTTGGGAGAAACAAATCCATATTCAGAATATTTTTGTGTTGGTTTAGCTGGCCTGGACTTATTTTTGGGCCTCAAAATTAGCCACTTTAAAAAAATGGAATCTGGGGCTTCAAAGACCACAAGATGGGGTTCCCAGGAGCCACATGTGGCCCACAGACTTCATTCTCCCCACCTCTGATTTGAACCCACCTGAGAATAAACTAGATCCTGATGTCTCATTTATACTCTTAGGTACAGAGTGGGGAAACTAAAGTTTCTTGTAATTCCACACTGTTCATTTATGTTTCTCTCCAGTGACATGATCAAGGTTCCTATTCGTGTCAAGCATAAGAGGCAGACGAATATTTCCCCCGGCAAGTTTCTTTCACCATGCTTGGTCACTGTTTCCATCTTTGAGCCTGGCAAGGTTTTCATTTGCTTGCTTGCATGCATGCTTGCTTGCTGCAATTCCATCACTATCTCCCAGCTCTCTCACGCTCCTCTAAGCTTGGCAGCCTTTGGACACACTGTGCCAAGCACAGAAGTGGTCATATGCAGGCACATCAAGTTCTATTTCTAGTGACTTTCGGCATGCTGCTTGCTGCGAGAACATGGAAAGTGGCATGTGAAAAAAGTCAACATGGGCAGCATCCTGCAGATGTCATTGGCTTGCACGTGAGTACCTGCCTCTGTAGGTACCCGAAGTCAGCAGCATGAACCAGCCCATTTGGTGTTCCTTTTTAAAAAATACATTGTATATTACTATTTTTCTCCTTTTGCTGTGAATTCTGCCTTGCCTGCATGGCTGCCGTATTCATAAATTGCTGTGAGCAGATGTAGGAGGTTAAATTCTGAAAGAAGTGCCACTCACTGACATTGCATTCCAAGGCAAGAGCAATAATTAGAAGGATGGAGGGTGACATTTTAAATAACCTTAATAGGGGGCTGCCGGTTTCTGTTGTGAAAAACAGATGCAGGTACAATTGGAAAAATAAAGATAAAAGGAGAAGATACACAGTGAGGCATGGAATGGCTTCATAATACATGAAGTATCTCAATGATAAAATTTCTTAAAATACGATTTAACATTACATTCTCTGAGGAAGGCCTTCATAGCCCTTCAGTTCCAGAAGTGAAGCTTCAACCTGTTTAGGGGGAGATGTTTGGAGACCCCTGTAAATGGAGGCTTTATACATTTATGCGGACAGTTGGCCAATAATATTTGTCACCCTTTATGTATGGTATTATCTATTGCATGAGACAGAGTAGTTAGATGTCAATACAAAGTAGGCCATCAATAATTAATAAAAGACCATATCCATTTGGGATATGGTCTGTTGGGACTCTCTCATTCTTGTATACTTGGAGGTCTCTCATTCAGAGGGTTGCCATAAGTTTAAACCCACTTCACAGCAAATAACAAATAACCATGTTTTCTCAAAATTCTACATATTTTTGTTACCTTCTATTATTATTACATAATTATACTACAGTCCAATACATAAGTACTTGGATTTATACCCCACTGAATCTAGTGGACCTTACTTCCAGATAATTGGACACAGGATTGCAAATGTTATAAGCTTTGCCACTGAGGCAATTGACAAAGTCCAGCCTTCAAAATTACTTTATTTTGTTCTTGTGCATCTTCAAGTTATTTCTAACTTATGGCAACCCTAAAACAATCCTATCACAGAGTTTTCTTGGCAAGATTTGTTCAGAAGAGGTTTGCCATTGCCTTCCTCTGAGACTGAGAGTGTGACTTGCCCAAGGTCACTCAGTGCGTTTCCATAGGCAATTCTCAAGCCACTACATCATGTGGCTCTCACTTACTGATTACTAAACTAATGTTATTTATTAACCAATTAACTTTAACTTTGATCTACCTAATCAAGTATAAACTAGAAATAAGCAATCTATTAGTATAAATACCAAGCAATCAGAAGTAAACCATACTGAAGGAAACTGGGCAATTTCAAAATTACCACAGAACTTCCAGGGGATTGTTCCGTTAAATCACAATTGATTAATATTACCGGTATTAATCTTAAATTCCTGAGGCAAATATATAAATAAAACCTGCACATTCTTGAACTTACAACACCAGGTGCATTTTGAGGGCTTTCTTCTTCTAACACTCCCATTCTAATAAATGGGCTTGATATTTAAAATAAAAATGTTTGAAACCCATAATCACAGTTATGAATGCATAATCTAGAGTTACAAATTCATAACTGAATCATTACTCAGAACTGAATATGTAGGGATATTCAATAGTGTAGGGAATATGTAGGGATTGTAAAAGTCCCCCAATCCTGACTCAGTGCTGCAAGTGACAGATGTCTATTCGCCTGGAGAATAGGGCACAGTAGACTGATGTTTTCATCCCCTCCTACAAGCAATATCCAGTGCAAGGAGGAACTGCTACAGATATCCTGATTCTGCTTGTTGTACTAGAGATCATGTGGTGTGTGTGTGTGTGTGTGTGTGTGTGTGTGTGTGTGTGTGTGGATATGCCAGGCACATCGTGTGTGGATATGAGAGTCTGCTGTGTCCCAATCACCACAACTGACCCGTGGTGGCTGCTGCATCAGGATTGTGGGAGTTGGGCTGGAAGATGCTACTTCATTAAGTAGCATCTTCCAGCCCAAGTAATTGATCATCTCAGCCCATGTTTTCCTTTAGATAAGTGAAACTGGCCAGTCCTTTAGATAAGTGAAACTGGCCAGTCATTTAAGGAATGTTTTCCTTTAGATAAGTGAAACTGGCCAGTCATTTAAGGAATGGACAATGAACAAACCAACTACACAAGAGGTAGCTACACAGGTCTCTTGCAACCCTCAAGAAGAGTTCTGGAGACCATTAAATGCAGATGGTTGGGTCTTGCATGTTCTTAGTGTTGCAAAAGACCTACGCTTCCAAGGTTGGAAAGATAAACATTCACGGGCTATCATTTAATGGTCAGAAAACCCTGCTGCTTTGCCACACACAAATGTATACTTTATATATGTTAAATCCAAAATGTGTTTTTGCACATACACTAGCTCATACTAATGTATATGCCTAGCCCACATTCATATCCCATGTATTTCCCTTTTTCCTCCTCTGCTTTTTCTCCACTACCCCAGGTTTGTAATTATACTTTTAAAAATCCAGTTGAATAAAACTAATAGATCTATTACAGCATAAATTTTGTGAAGCAGCTGTATCAGCCACATGAAGGCATCCTCAGATGACTCTTTGTATATGCATAGGTTTGTTGTTGCTGTTGTGTGCCTTCAAGTCACTTCCAACTTATGGAGACCCTAAGATGAACCCATCATGGGGTTTTCTTGACAAGATTTGTTCAGAGGTTTGCCATTGTTTTCCTCTGAGGCTGAGAAAGTGTGACTTGCTCAAGGTCACCCAGTGGTTTTTTGAGCAAACAGGGAATTGAACCCTGGTCTCCAGAGTCATAGTCTAACACTCAAACCATTATACCATGCTTGCTCTCTATAGACATAGAGAACAAACCAACAAGTATATACCAGAGGACCAAAAAGATCATGCATGGAAAGGGGCAGCAGTATGTCTGTGACACTTCTACACATGACCATTTTTTGAATTTACAAGGAAATCTACATGATGTCTCTGGGTGTGCTCAAAGCAAATTCTTCTTTATTAAAAGGAATGTCATAGCATTGTCACTACATGGGTAGACAATTTGTTAGAAATCTGTTCCAGAGTGGTGTAGCTGTTGGATCACTACCAAGCTGGGAAATGTGAAGTGGATTTCCACAAGCATTCAATAGTATACCTTGTGGCTACACAATGTTTTTAGTACTCTTGCAAACTGAACCTCTACTATTTTGTCATGTCTGAATGGGGTACCTGTGTCTCATGTGTGGCTGGTTTCCTTCAACTTTCCAGACCCACCATGCAAGTGAGTTGCTGATGACACTTTCCCAAGTTCTACTTGTGTGTATTGTTAAGAGAAATAGGTGAATAAAAATATGCTTTTGTACAGATCAGATACGACACTTCTATTACTCTGTTCCCTTTTGGTGGCTTCAGGTGTCTATGGAATGGAAGAAGAGCAAAACTTGGGTTCACCAGTTGGCTTCTTTTTTCTTTATAGAAGAAAGTTCCACCTGCCTGGAATCCTGTGATCCAGGGGGAAAAGGACAACTGTGCTGATTCAAACCTTACTCAAGCCATAGAACAACAGGACATTTTGAAAGGACACAGTTTGGTCCTCCCAAAGGCTAGCTCTTCTGTGACCCTAGAAGCTTTTCCTGTAAAGTCCACATCAGGGATGGAAATAATGTGGCCCTCCAGATGCTGCTGGACTGCACAGTTAATGATGATGAACCCTGGGAGCTGTAGTCCAATGATATCTGAAGGGTTGCGTGATTCAGACCCCTGGCCTAGAATTGTGTCAAGAATATGAAATTTCTTGGGGGTTGAGGCCCTGCACTGGAAGTGCCCCCCCCAACCCAACCTGTCTGTTGTATTGCTATCTCAATGTGCAATTTTTGGTGGCAGCAATATAGCAACAATTTCCTTTGAAAAAAATGGATGCAGGAATGTATGGTTTCCTTGAAAGTAGAATCTCTGTCTACCTGCTTCTAACAAGACAAGTCAGCATTAAAAGAAAGGACACACTCCCCAATGTGCTTTACTTTTGTAGAAAGTTATGCACTTTATGCTTCCACATTTTTGTGACACAGGATTTGGGGGGGGGGCTGTCACATGTCACCCTTG